AAATTAATGTCTTTCTTCATTAATTCAGTATATATTATTTAATCATTGGTATGGTTCTAGGTTAAGATACAAAGGCAGGTTTACATATTATAAATGTAATGCTTAGGGCCGGGATTTAGCTCAGTGGCATAAATGGCTGCTTGGCAAGCACGCAGTCATGAGTTTGACCTCCGGTACAAAAAAAAAAAAAAATTTAATGTTTAACCTCTGACAAATTTGAAGTTAGAGTAAATAAGGTGTATATTCAAAAGATAAATAAAAATATTTTCTGATAATGTCTAATAGAATTCAGGCACCAAAAATATCAATTAGATCTAATTATATTTTTAAAGTTGTATGTCAGATTTATTTTATCATGGAGTTTCTTATGAGAGAGGAGAAAATTGTGAATTAAAAAAATATTGGGATTTTATGGTTGAGATTTTACTGTTCTCAATTTTCAACAATATCATGGATGTGGAAAGCCTTGTATAGAACATTTAAAAATCTGCTTAAACTATATCTGAATTTTTATCAATTTCAAGTTTACTAATTTATTTATAAATTAGAAGGTATACAAATAAAATATTCACAAATAATAATAATAATCTGCTATTTCTTGCATTGTATATCTGGTATTATTCTTTGATATAAATGTTCACAATAACAAATTTATCCCTAATTCATCATGGCATTGTATGTATTTGTTGCAGTTAGGGGTTGCAAGGAGAACAATTACATACAGGAGACAGAATTCATAATATTATTTTATGATGGTCACCCAGAGTTAAATACAAGAAAGTGCAAGAATCTGTCCACAACACTAAAGACCAGCCAAGGGCCTGAATCCCAAGGCAATGTCCTACATGAGTTCGACTGAAAACCTAGAGCCTATGACAGTGCCTCCCATGAGTCTAGCTAGAGGCTTAGAGCCCAGGACAATGACTCATGCAAGTCTGTTTCACAGATCCGCACTGAGAAGACCCAAGGTCAGCGGTGATAGCTAGAAAGTCTATGCCAGTGGGCTGAAGTGTCTGTGCCAGTAGGTTGAGGGTTCTACACTGGATCGAGGAAGCCACGCTCCAACTAAGAATCAGCTCACCCGAAAAGTACCAGAGCCATCCTCAGCAACAGTAAAGTCCCAAGCTCCTCCAACAATGTGAACAGCAGAGTACATATCAGGAAGCCAGCGTGACAAGCTTCTCCTGGAGATTAAACAGCACGTATCTTCTCCTCCTAACCCAGGAAGTGATGCTCAATGTAAGGACCAGAGCTCCCCCAAAGTGATCTGCAGCTACTCTCAGCAACAAGGTACTGAGCTCCTCTAAGGATGACAGCTGAGTTCATATCAGGAGAGCCAGCATGACAAGCTCCTCCAGGAGAACCAGCAGGTCTGGGAGAACCAACAGCTCCAAACAACAACAGAGGAGAACCCAAAATGCTACACTATTTTTCTCCAAGGCTCCTTTTATGCAGCAGCTTTCCTTAGGTGGGCATCTACACTCAGCACCACGCTGATTTAATTCAGTTGGTATTAAGTTAACCACCACTTTTTAATCCATAACACTATAACATAACATAACACTATTACTAACCCTCTATTAGTTCATCAAAATGAAGAGTTTGTGCTTTCATTGTTTGCTTGATCATTTTTTCATGTCTATATTTTGTAATCTGAACTACTTTAAAGATAATAATATGCAGTATTTTAACCATTGTTAATCTCCTGTTACTTTGTTTTGAAATTCTGTATCATATTTTTTACTGTTTTTTCAGTTTAAAATAAAGTTTTTTAAAAAGTATGTAACTTACGTAAAATTTTGCACAGAGATCCAAAAAAATATACACGAGGTTTCCACAGCTTATGGAAAGCAGCCTATAGTAATTGTACTACAGAGGTTTGTACTGATCATCACATCTTTAATGTGAACACTTATGAAGAATATTACATCAAATTTTTTAATTTATCTGAAATAGGTTATAAAATTACTATAAATTGAAATCTTAGCTGTATGCCCTGGCAAGATTATTCAATATAATGTCTAAAATATTAAAATACTCTGTATTACAAAAATGAATTTTTACATTCATAATTTATTGTACTATGCACACAGCCTAAATTACTAAGGCATTTAAAAAGTAGTAGTATATTTATATATACAGTCTAACCCACTGAAAACATTTAAGGCATAGCTAGCACATGCACATATTTAAATGAACTTTCTTTGGAAAGGCAATAAAGATGCCAAAATTAAAGTCCTTTCACAAAGAGCTATTCAAGCAATTTTCCAGAACAACAAATAATTTATGCTAAGTGAAGACTAAAGAATTGAATTTCATTCAGTTCAATTTGTTTTGTACTATCCACGGCAAGGGAGAAACAGACTAGTTACAAGTTATTTTGAATTGATAAATATGTATTCTTGTATATTCACAGTGCAAGTCTATCTAATAAAAATTCCACTTTTTAAAGTTTCAAACTGACCTATATTTTTACTCTGAATTCTGGATCATCACTGCAAAACATTGTGAAAGCTACCACTGCAGCATCCGTGACAAACATCTTCTGTATAGTTCCTCTGTAAAGCTTCAAAACATCATTATCTAGTAACAATATTTGCAAGGGAACATGAGGTATTTTTTTCAGTACCATATATCACATAAAAACTATTCTCTAATGAGTTTGTGTGTGATAAAAATTTATTCTACCAATATAAATACTGGTCAAAAAATCCAGGAAACTGACACATAGTAATTTTACAAAGTTTGAATATAAAAAAATCAAGAGATATTCTACTAGGCAGATATCAATGTGGAAAGCATTCTAGAGTATGTCTGTATATATAAAAATGAACTTTTCTTCCTCCTACTCACATATTAGTGAAGTCGTCAATTTCTCTGAATTTGGTAATGCTTCACAACGGTCTACAGGATTAAAACTTTCAGTCAGTCCACTCTCATCTTTGTCTCCTTTAGTCATCAGTGTTTGTCATGTCAATCTATCTGTGGATTTTTGTTGTGACTGCTCATTCTCCCTCTTTATTATGAATGAGAAATTAAATCACCACCTTTGGCAAACACACATTTTGGGACTTTTGTGAGGGCAAGTTCTTTGAAGGGAACAGAAGGGCAAAAGGGATCTGAATGACTGAGTACTCAATGGGATGTGAGGAAGGAAGAACAGCCACTATATTGGAGTATGAGACTTTATGAAATTTATTTGGGTGGCAATTTTGTTACCTGCTAAATGATGAAAGATAAAAACAAATGCTTGATTTCATAATTGCGCTAGAAGAAAAAAGGAAAGGCAGGATATAAAAAGGAAGGAGGGAAGGAAGAAAGGAAAGAAGGAAGGAAGGAAGCAAGCAAGCTGGCCACATACTAAACACTGTCAAAAACCTATTTTAAGATACCTCAATTATTTTTGCATTACTCAATTGGATTCCATAGCCTCACGTTTACAGAAAATAAGAATTAAGAGAAGACAACACTGCAAGCTAATAATCAGTATCAAGATGCAAGCTCATCTATTTATATCTCCTTCTTCATGCACCTTACACAAAACATCTCTGCAAAAATTACTAGATTATTAAGCTGCGTACAATCAAGGACTCAGAATTGCTATCTGGTATTCTCATCTGTAGGTATTTAAACCATTTCCAAAACATTTCAGGGAACAAAATGAAAGAACTAACCCATGCAGTCCTCTTGGTCTTACATACTGCTTTTTTAAAAAATAAAATTGCTGTATTATATTTTAAATTATATTTATTGTATACTACCATTTAGATGTAACTTGAAGATTGGACACAACCACAGAAAAATGTATGAATACTCAATATTTGACCTCTGCCCCCATTTTATTTAGAATTAACAAATGTCTGTCAATAAGCAAAGAAAATAATAGTGACTGAATTTGCATATGGGCATTTGGATGAGGAGTACTGGTTATGTTTTTATTCAAATTAATCAACCAAGTATTTTTGCCCTTCATCATTTACCAATTACCAAAACTGCCATTAAAGTAAGTTCTTAAATATGACGTGTTGGGACTCAATAATAACTTCATATCATTTCTGGTAATAAAGCCCTGAGTCTATTTTGACTGATTAGAATGACTGATTCTGGATTCAGTTCAGTTCCATACCCCTAAATACATATGTCTTGCTTCCTCTTATCTTTTCTATTTTAAGCTATCCTTGATAGAGTTGTTAAGATATGCTTATGAATATAGATGAAAAGTCTAAGTGAAATACAGTCATTTTCAAAAGTTTAATGGAAGTTGACATTGCTCGTGGTACATAATACCATTTACCCTGTTCAGTCTGTAAATGTTCCAAGTTAAGTATTTCTGAAGTACTGAGATATTAAGATTCTTTTAATATTTCTAAGATGCATGCATAGACACATTATTTATCAGGCACTAAAAAAGAAGGACTTTTCAATAAAAAATAAGATTAAAATGTAAAATAAAATAACTATATGCCTGTGATATTCTACAAGTAATTTTACCAAAACAAATGATATTAACATATGCTTAATAAATATTAATAATGGAAGCTTAGTCTTAAGTGCTTCCAACATATAGAATACTGGTAAAGATGCCAAAAGTATGAGATAATGTAAAATGCTTATTTTTTATTATAGCAAGACATTAGATAAAGCTAATTAAAAAGACAATTTCTTATTTTCACTCTTAAGATCCTCAGAAATTAATAAATAGATGGATATCCTCTATGCTTTGAGATAAGGAAGCTGCCTCAATTCTGAATCATACTGTAAACACAAATCTTATGTTATCTATGAGGAAACTTCAGAAACGGGTAAATATAATCTTGAAGAAAATTTGAAAGATGTCTCTTGTGAACAAAAGCTTGGAAAATCATTTTCTTTTGGATACAAAAAGTTTTTGTTCTTGTTAAGCTGTGAATTATTATGCATTTACATCATTCTCCCTGCCCTCAATTTTTCCTTTCGATTGTTTACATGCAAACACACCAAACAAACAAATGAAGACACACCTGTTGTAAAAGGAGCAGCTGGATCTTCCTTCCTGGAGCTGTGGAATAACAGGCAATTCCTCGTAAGCACAATGTCATCCAGTGCAATATGACCATGGTAGCCTTTCCCAACTCTGCCTTCAAATTTGAGTTGAAAGTCCTCATCACCAAACAGCGGTAATTCTTTTCTCCTCCAGAAATTGCCTTGCTCTTCAGTGAAGTTAAGTAGAACCTTTGTCTGGTTCGTGACTGACACCTGGAACAGTGTGAGCGCCCCGATACCATGTCCATACATGTGGTAATGAAAAAGGATCTGAAACCACGAAATGAACACTGCATGTGAGAACAACAACTAACCTCACTTTATTTTAATTATATCACAATGCTCTATCATTTATTAACAGATGTGGGAGGAAAATCAGACTTTCTGGTGTATTCTATTGCTCTGTGATTGCATTAACTCTGAGTGAAGTTAGGTCAGTCTTGAATCACATTGTGTATTGTATGGAAAATGATGCAGTAAGGTTTGATTAGAAATTTAACTAAAAGAAATAAACTGAGTTCATTTCTTTCTGTGACATTTAAAAGCAAGATTCCTTGAAACTATGGTTCAAACATGTCTTATACAACATGTGTAGGGGATTTAATTCCAACACCACAGTGTGGAGAAGAGGGACCGTCAGGAATTAAGTAAGGAGGATCAACTTTCATTAATAGATGAATGTCATTATGGTGGCAGTAGGTTCACTATCACGAGAGAATAAAATCATTTTCTTAAAATTGCAGAATACATATTTGATTATGTGACAGCATTCTTACAGAAACATATGGGTTCTGCAAGATCTAGAGAGTTCTACTATATCGAGATGAGCAGAATAGAAGTTATCAAAATTTTACTTGAAATGCTAGAAATGAGTCTTAGAAGAGCACCCATGGGAATTTTTCCCTATGTAAAAAATGATTCAAAAATATGGAGGATTTAACATTTCAGCATGTTCAAGGGGTTTACTAGACTTTTCACTATGCTTACACTGCAGGAGAAAGTCATAGAAAATTATTAAAAATATAACAGAAGCAGTTAGAATCAACGGGAATTCAGAGCTTTTTAGTTTTTGTTCTATCCTTTGGTAAAATGAGAGAAAACAGTGATCTTCACATTAAAAAAACACACTATGAAACTATTAGCAGTCCTGTATGTTTTACTCTTGAGAAAAGGAAAATGAAAGTATTTAAAGTATACAGAATGTCATGAAACAATATATGCACAACATTACTCAAAAAAATGGGGACTAAAAATTAGTGAAACATATAAAGTAGCTGCTCAAATTTCCTAGCTAATGAAGTTTCCAAGTATCATTCTATGATTCTGAAATATCTCCTGCATTGATTGAGTTTTCAACAATAGCACTACGCCTCTTCCTGCAGGTGCTGAAACATACGCAGCATTACTTGAGTGGGAAATGAGAAAGTCTTCTGTCCCCTTGCGGGCAGCAGTTATGCAGGCCCAGCCGGGTAGCATCGTTCTCTGTGTCTCATGAGGCCACTGATGTGATCAGCACAATTTTCTGCTTTGTACTTGTCCTATTTGTACAACAATGTGAGGCATATGTTTCATATCTCAAGGGATACTTCTTTATCTTAACGTCATTTTATGAATGATGACATCAGGTTAATATGCAAATAAAAACCCACATGTCAATTTCTAGAACACTCTACAGCATAATCCAATCACAGATCAGCAAGGGTGAATGAAAGTCTGCTACATGTTATTCTTCACTGGAACAGAGTTCTGTTTTTACTGGACCTTCTCATTGTTCAGACGTTCCATCTCTTTCCCCATCCATCTCTGTCTGCACCTTGCCATTCACTTACCCTTGAAAGGGGTAGAGTGTTGATATTCAATGCTTAATGGTGTTCAACAAAATGAAAGGTCAAAAGTGAGTCCCCTACAAGGTTTTTGAGGTCTCTCTGCTTATTTAAACCACATGTTTGGTATATGAGAGACCCAGTAATTCTAATATGACCTTTCCTTGCCTCTCCATATTTAATTTATATCATAAATATTTATAAAAAGAACCATTCATCATTAATTTTTTGACATCCTTTCCAAGTATACTTCATTATTCTCCTATAGGTGCTTAAAATACTGGGGGCCATATATTTGAAACAGGGGAAAACAGAGATGGATGAAATTCGTAGTTACTACAGTATGAAAAAAACATCTTTGGAACATGTGCTGAAGAAATATCAAGACAGAAAAGTTTAGAAGTCAAACTAGAATTTTATATATTTCATATTTAATAATCAGATTTTTGAGACTAATATACACTTTTCAAAATTCTTAATGGTATATAAACCTAGATTAAGACATAGACCCAAAATATATATAATCTGGAAAACTTGGATTTTACATTTGAGACAATATCCAGTAATTTGAAAGACATTAAGACAGTAAAAGTATATTTGATTAATCAGTTAAACTTCAATGTTATTGTGTGACTGGTTGCTTCCACCCTGGACTGCAGATAGTTCTCTATCCATCCTCAATGATTATGCCACTTGCGGAATTTGCTCTGTGAGAATTTATAAAATCAGCTCAAAACAGAAAAACTCTCAAGATAAACTAAATGTTTCACATATATTAAGGCTTAAAAGAACCAGAGGTATGCCAGCACAGTATAACTTGAAGATAATATAGACTCAAATTATGCAATTGCCTGTGAGCCTGATTTGGTCAACCAAAAAATTTCCCCAAGTCATTGGCTTTATTGTGTGTGTGGTTCATATATTAAGGAACACTCAAGTCAGAATACATGTGATCAGATTTTGTGGAAACTGCATTTCTCATCACAGACCTAAACAATGGCAAGTTTATTTATGCACCAGTCTCGGACAAGCAAGTTTCCCATGATGCCTTCTACAAGTTCTTAATTTACTTTATATGTAAACATAAATTTAGTTCCTAATTTAGCTGGCTCAAATCTTTTATGAAATTTATATAAACTACCAAGCAAACAATAATGTAAAAAAAAAAACCTGAAAATAGTCATGTGAATCTATTAGGTTAAAAAGCCCTATTTATGCCTTAATACTCCTCAAATACTTTCTTTAAATTTTCACAAGCCAGGACCAAGTAATATTTTCTTCTTGCCTACAGAAATACTTTGATTTTTAAGGCCATGTTTAATCTTTCTTTTCTCTTGAAGACTTCGTCTACCTTTCTATTGCTGCTCTATATTTAATATTATTTATTAGAGATATTTAATTATATATTGCTTAGTGCTTAATTTTTTATTATGGTAGTAATAATTAAATACAGTAAGTACTGAATCCTTGAGAAGACCCAACTAGTATTTTCTTTTTTGTGTGTACCTACAGTTGTGAGTAAATTAACCATGAAGTTTTCCAAAATTTCAATGATTTCATTCATTCTAACTATCCTTTCTTTTCATTCTTACTTCCTCTATAGTCCCTCAAACATTGCAAGATGAGTAAATTCAAACTCATATTTGCTTCAGCCCCCATTGTTCAATTTTCTGTTTTTGACTTTATCAACAATTGTTACGTTATTTCTGAGTTTTGTTTCTTTTTTGCCTCCATACCGTGCAGTTTTTACTTCTCTTATTTATCACTGGACTTGATATTCTGGCTACTTTCATGCGCTGCTGTGGAAAAAAGCTCTTTATCAAGATATAGTGACCGGACGAATTTCCCAAGGTGTGATCCACAGCTGGATCCCTGCTGGCCTCAGGGATGCTGCTGACTTTCATATTCCAGTCTAAGTCGTCATCCTGATCCTGCTCCCATACACAAAGATCAAATTCAAAATTACAGCGTCCACTGAAGGCATCTGGAAAACATTTCCAATCATATGTTAGGAACAAAGGAAATCTGCTATCTTTGAGGTATGCAATTCAAAATCACAATGATCTTGTGATGTCACATTACATACAAAACCTTACAATGCTCTGACAACATTTATATAAACTATTTTGGTGTGTTATATACAGATATTTTCATGGCAAGTTTAAGTTCATTTTTCCTCCATTCTTATCCCAATCTGAAAATTACTGGGAAAAAACCCTTAGAGTTACACACATTTTCACCCAAAGATACGGATTTAGTCATTACAATTTATTACTTTTCTTTTCTCATCATTGCTTCTCAGGACTTTTTTTTTAGGAAGTTTATTATTGTGCAATACTGTTTAGCTTGGAAATGTTGCCTAGCAAACGTTATCAGTAATTATTTAATTATATTTTACAACAGCTTCACAGTTTAAAAATGTGAATAATGTGAAATGGAAAAGTAGTATAAGAGATATAGTAGCGTGAATTAATTTATTGTAATAAGTTGCAGAAATTGTTAAGTTAAATAAAATTTGTTAGAATACCAAACTATTTCCAGTTGTTTGGGATATTTTATTATTTATATCACTTTAGTTGCTTTTTCTTCCGTTTCCTGCATGGTAGAAACAATTAGACATCTCTTTATAAGGCTGCAGTTAACTATCATTCTAACAGTGCAGGTGTAGATATTATAAAGTTGAGGGTTGTGGTGTAAGGGGTTAATCTTATGAAATCATATGTTAAGGAAATCCTTAATTTTAAGTATGTCTATGTTATACTATATAAAACTATAAAATGTCTAATTAAATCACAACTAGTAACATGTTCAATATACTCCTTAATTTTGGCCTGATTATAACTGAATTAAAAACCTGTAAAATCATAATTATATGTGATATAGTATCTAACAGCTTAAAAAGCAGGACAATCAATCGCCACGTTTCAATATGTATTAAGGAAAGATTTTTCTCTTAAAGAAAGTTCATTTGAAAAAGTGCTCAAATCTTTAAAGCAAATTTATCTAAATGAGAATATGAATGATTTTGCCATCAAAGCACTAAAGGATCACTCTCCAGTAGAGTAGCCAAAGGAAAATAAATAAATGTCATCCAGAATCCACACGAATTTTAACACAAAGAATTTATTCCATTATGTAGAACACTAAGAATTTCTGTATTCTAGTGCACATCATTAAAATTCTGCTGCTTTATGAACATACATTAAGCAAAATCACATAAAGTGCTTAAAAATGCATTATACACTATATTCACTGAAGTTAACAAGGTGAAAATCATTAAAAACACTGTAAATCTTATCCTCCCAACTATACTATTTTGAGATATTTAAAACTAGTAAAATTACAGCTAGTTTTATTACTTCCCACTAATGTACTTTCCAAAAAATGCAAAAGAGCTTAAATGATTGTTTTTAGCTTTTTAAGGAATTTTTAAAATTTTTAAATTTAAGAAAGTGTCTAGACTAATATGACTTAGAAAATTATTTATTTTAATAGACTAACTTCAAGCGTCTTCAAGAATAGAGAAATTTTTTTCATTGTAATTTCTATCATCAAATCAAAAGGATGGCATTTTCTATCCAACTGCTAATTCAGTTCTAAAATTATATTTGAAAATATACTTTCTTTCTTTCTTAAAATAAGTTATCATGAAGCCTACTGTAGATCAGAATACTAAAGCTAAGTATTCTTTCAGAGGACTGGGAAAACTCAGGACCTAGTTTAAAATCTGAAATGTTGTTTTTAAAAAAATATGAAAGTTTACTCTTCTCAGTATGGAAAATTTAGCAGCTCATAATTACCCAATTACCATACATACCAACATCAAGAAAAGCCATTCACATAAACAGATAATGGGTGGTGTTGAAAACAGATTTGTTTAAAAAGAAAAACTATCAACATTGCTGCATGAATCTGTACAATGCAAGTCGTATTTTTTCCTTTAATATTTGCCATGATTTTAGAGACACATTTTCTTAGAAAGTTTAATCCTGATGTATCAGTAGGAAAATAGAACAAGTAAGCATAAACTGAATCTCACATCACTTGGGGAAAGGGAATAACTTCTAATTTCATATTTCATTACTTCACCTCTACAGTGGTTCATATTATTAATTTGGTTGATGAAAAAGTTGAAATTGAAAATTAAATTTTTGACATTGTATTTTAGGTAACAAAGATCTGAGTTGAAGATTGGTATAAACAAGACCCTATAATGTTAGTTCACTTATATGGCTGAGGGGTTAGTGCCACAGTTTACAAATAATAGAAAATAAGAAAGTGCTTTGTCTGCAAGGAAATGAGGTTGGAGACTCGACAGTGACATTAAGACAAGAGTCATCCAGTTTTGCTTATTCTTGAAGTTTCATGATGTAGGTTTCACTTCTTCAACTGTGTATTTGAATATTAATTTCTACAAGTGTGACTGTGTCATTTGAAGAATGTTGTGCAATCATGTAAGTGGGACAGATCCTAAAATTACATCCTTCTTTGGGAGATAATTTTTAAAACATACTCATACATTAAAGGTTCTAAGAATTTCTACTACTTAAAAAACTTTTTCAGATAACAAAGTACATTTCCAAATTATATGTTATTTGGGAAAACATATTTTTGCATAATGAATAACTTCTTGTAGAATACTGTATGAATGATGCAAAGGACTAGATTTTCAAATCATAGTGTTAAAAGAAACAAGCAAAAAGTATGATTAGAAAAGAAGGAAGTTTCCAATTTTCTGTTTCCCAAGGCTTAAGGGAAAAACAAAACAAAAACCAAACACATATGCACAAACTTTGGGGAATGAAATAGTTATAATTTATTACGTTGTAACAGCAGATTAGAAATCTGAAGTCAAGGTGTTGGCAGCACCTATAGGACACAGGGAACAAGCCTTCCTTGCTTCTTCATGGATGCCAGTGGTTATCATCGATCTTAGTTCACTGAGGCTAAGAGATGCCATTCCAGTCACAAAGTGCTCTCCCTCGCGCCCTCACTCTTCTGTGTCTCAATTTTACACCCGCCATTGGATTAGGACTCCAATCTGATCCCATTTTATCTTGATTGTATCTATAAAGACCTTATTTCTGAAGTTCTATATGGACATGAGTTTTGGGGGAACATTACACAACTCAGGTGGACAAAAGGAGGATACCATGTAACCCAATACAAAAATATTTCCTTTATTAAAGCAAAGCTCGCTGGCTTTTGAGATACAGAATCATATTCTAATATAATTATAATTTAGCTGTCATTGAAACTTATGTCCTATATGTTGACCAAAACCATAAGAAAGAAGATTAAATAAATTAGCTTTTTTTCTTGACATGTTATGATTTAGATCTAAAATGCCCCCCAAAATTCTCATCTGTGTGGAAGGTGATTGGATCAGGAGGTTTATACACTCAACAGATGATTAATGATTGTGCTGCTAGGAGGTGAGGCTAACTGGAGGTGGTTTACAGGGGAATAACCTCAAAGGGTGTATTATCGTTTCTGCTCCCTAATCTCTTTGTGGCATTCTCATAGATGTGTATACTATTCATGACATAGCATGAAGTAAGTTTCATTTGATCACGTGCATCATTTTCATAGCCTTTCTTTGCCCTCCTTCCTATTATTTATCCTTTTCCTCCAAATTTTGGTTCTACTTCCTCATTTGTCCTAGGTATATTTGTGTAGAAAAATCTAACATAAGTTAGAGATACTGTGTAATTTTTTCAACACATCATATTTCTTTTCTATAAACAGATACATTTTATATAGCTGAAATAAAATTTAAAAAGGAAAGTTGACAACATATTATCTATCTCTGGTCCATATTTAAATTTCCTCAATTATCTTTATTATGTCCTTTAGAAACATATTTTCCTTGGTTAAGAATGCAGTTCAGGATCATATATTGCATTTAACTGTTATGACTCTACTTTTTTGATCTGCAAGAGCACTTCAAGATACTTTTTCCTTTCTAGTCCTTAGCATATATGATGAGGACAAACCAATTAATGTAAAAAGTACTTGAATTTAGGTTTTTCTGAAAACTTTTATGATATGATTTAAGTTGTGCATTTCAACAGTAATGTCCAGCATGGTACATTGAGACTTATCTAGAATACAAGAATACCAGCATGGTACATATTGACTTATCTAGAATACAAGATGGTAACTCGGGACGTTTGGCTAATGTGCAGTTCATTATATTTCTCCATTATAAAAATCACACTTTCTCTTTTATTTCATTTGGAAACAAGAACAATGATAAATATATTTTCTTCATTAAAACTGCAAGTTAGTTATGGCTTCCACTAATAATTTTCTTTTTCATTTTTTGTAGCTGTGGTTAGAACATAGGACATGAAATCCATCCTCCCAATAAATTGTTAATGCATGCTACGGCACTGTTAATGATAAGCATTATGCTGTATGGTAGATCTCAACATTTTCTTTTCTACCCATGGCCTTTTGGGGTTTCAACTTTTATCAGATACATTCACAAGAACTTTATACTTTCACCACTTCTGGAGTTTAAATGTCCTCTCCAAAGCTCACTGAAATTTAACTGCCATCTTGAATGGATTAAGAGGCAGGATCTTTGTTACATAAACCGATGATGACTGGATTCATGCTGTCAATGGGGAAGTGAGTGAGGTACGGTGGAGGTTGTGCTCCCTTTCGTCTGTCCTGCATGTCCTCCCTTCCTGTGTTGTCATGCTCTCTTGCAACACCAGGTTCCTCTGCCCACACTCCAGTATGAAGAGCCAGGGAAACTTGTACTATTTGCAAATCCCTCAGTCTGGTATTTTCTTACAGAAGCTGAAAATGGACTAAAATGAGTTAGGACATGTTCTCTTTTATGTTGTGAAAGAGTTTGTGAAAGTTGTTTAGAATTTCATTCTTCAAAGTTCACTAATATATTTCAACAGCAAAGTCATCTGTGGTTAATCTTTGGCTTGTGGGAAAATGTTTTGATATCAGTTTCTGTAATAG